TGATTTAGCCTAAAGCAACAGAAACCAGGTTCTTAGTCATGCTGCAGTCTTAGGACAACTTCCCATCCATTATGTTTAATGTAAACATTAACGAGAACAATCTAATATAGGGAATTACAGTTAGAATTTATGACACATTTACTGAAACCCAGACTTTAGAAATTCCCTAAGTAACTGCAGTGATAAGAACATTATAAGTAACATTATAATTCTAAATGTATCATGAGAGTTAAAAGAAGAAAAAAGTTTTATTAATGTCATTGTTATTTTGTTTTTATAACTTTAAAATATACTCATTAGGTACATTTTTGAAAAATAGTGTTTGTTTTAGACATTCAACTTAGAGATGCCTAGGGGTATTTAACAGTTGTTGTCAAATACTCAGAAGTCCCAGAAGCCCTGTTTTTCACATCCCCTATAAGGAATTCAGAGTCATATGCAGGAGCATAAATAGAAAGGGACTGAACAGTCTATAATCACCAAGTTATGTCTGAGCAAGTAGTACTCCCTCGGCTAAACATCAAACGGGAAGTGTCATATGGGGCAGACAAGCTGAAATAATAATATTTTATCTGATTCATCTCTCCCCAATGCTAGACAGAGGCAAATATGTGAATGATAATATGAGTATATTTCAAATCTCAGTTGGAGATTCTCTTCAAAGCAGGAAAAAAAAAATATCTACTTATCTATAAATCTAAATGCACACACGTTTATGACATTGCTTTAAGACTACACTGACGCACACATGGCATTGCTTTAAGAGACTGGTTTTAAGAAAGAGGTGAATAAATGCAGAGGGACTCCGAAGGCCTACTGTTCTGGCCGAGAGCTCAGTTCTCCCCAGTAACTGACATTCTCACAGGCCTTTGGAGAGTTCAAAATTCTCCCCGATATTATCTCACTGGACTTCCACAGTCACCCCGCTGGGCAATCAGGGAGAGAACTGTTGCTTCCATTCTACAGATGAGGAAACTGAGTCACAGAGAACTCTGGTGACTGACTAGCAGATGGCCAAGCAGGCAGTCCAACCAACACCGTCACCATTCCGCTGCAGCGCCTGGCAACAGAGCCTGGCCCGAAGCGAGGAGCGGAGCCCGCAGAGCTGCGACTGCAGTCTGCGCCCACATGCCGCCAATGCTGAGCTGCTGAGCGGACGGAGGCAATCGCAATGGTGAGAACGCCAGCCCTGCGGGGATCAAATGCCCGGCCGCGAGCCGAGACATGCTGTGAAAAGTCGGTCTCAGAACGCAAACGTAAAAAATGTGAGGAATGCAGATCCCACGACGTGAACGCTGCGTGTTCTCCAAATAAAACGTCAACGTAATGATTTAGAAGGGCTTCAGATATGAGAAACCCACCCTCTTCTCTCCCCGGTCCCTAGAACTCCTGGAAAAGCAGAATTTATCACGGGTCTCTCATAAGCTCTGACGGGGCACCGCCAGGCTGTAACTCACAGCATTAACGGCCACCCGTGTGCTCCCTGACACGGCGACCCATACATCTGCAATGGCAGGGTTTTAAATCATAACGCTGCTACCAGAAGAAAGGATGCAAATCAGACGTCTGAGTGCCCTGGTGTTTAAAAACTGAGTTTTAGAGTAAGAAGAGGCTGACAGTCACTCTGTGTGTTGACTTTTAGTGCCTCAGTGGCACCTTCTTGCCTGAAGCCAGTGCCAACCTGCTGACTATGTCTAGAATCGGCTGAGTGGTCTAGTCGGGTTTCCAAGGGCAGACATATATTTTTACTTAGACAGGCGCAGTGAAGGGCTTCTAGAGGCTGACCCAACGGCCCTTCTGTTTCACACATTAGCTTCATCGGGACGTCAGTTTTATCCTCTTTTTCCTGCTCCATCCCTTTGGGTAACACAATGGGCTTGGTGCAGGTCGTGGAGAAGGGGCGAATAGTCATCAAGGGGAGCTCAGGCAGCTGAGGAACTTGATTCCTATCTCCTGGTTACGTTCTGGAATGCATGTGAGCGACATCCATCCCCTTCACAGCATCTTCCCCTCGATGCATCCCGGGGAAAGGACAAGGGATCAGACACCGAGATTCTATATACATTGCACGTCGTGAGTGGAAAAGAGAGGAAATGGGCGGCGAGAGTGGAATCAGTGAGCTGGAAAGGGTCACCCTGTGGTTTACGGGCAGGTTCACTATCGTCTCAGGCACCTCCCTCTCAGGGCCTCAGAGCTGCGGTACAGGCCACCCCACAGCAGCCAACGGTTCTCGGGGACCTACTACTTCGTTATTGGCAGAGAACATGAATAATTTCAGCCGCCATGGTGAAGTGAGCTGGGCCATGGAGAGACAGGAGAAATCAAGGGGGTGCCCTCATTAACACCACGGTATTTGTGTCTGGTCATACTCAGGAAAGTCCTGTCGCCTTCGCCGTAAAGCCTAGCTAAACTCAGTCAGAGGTGGGGAGGAGCCTGGGCCTGAAGGACAGTGCAAGGTCATCAGGGGTGACAGGCCACTTTGGAAGAGAGGACGCCATATCCTCACTTCCAACCCAAGGCCTAGTTTACAATTTGGCCTCCATTCCTCCTTTGGGTTCATAAAACTGAAACTATACTACATCTTGTTTTGTAGGGCAGGGATATTTATTTTCCTAATAGGAAAAATAGAAATGAAACATAATTCCCTCCAGGGAGAAAAGAGTAAGAAAAAAAAAACACATACTTTTTACATACACACTCAGAAATCACCAAATAGTATTACCACGAGGGAAAAATGGATACTGCAGATAAGCAGAAAGCCCCCAGGATGGCCTCAAAGCCTATCCATCAACGCATATTCCTTTCAACAATTATTTGTGTAATGCAAGCATGACACAAGCTGCAAAGACTTATGTTCAAGTGCCAGTCGCTAGTTAGCTGAGCGACTGTCAGTGGTTAATCACCAAACATTTATTCTGTATCCACTGTGTTATTACTTGGCACTGTTCAAGGCCCTGAGGATACCAAGACAATTGAGATACAAACCTTGCCCCCCAATGGTGTTTACAATCTAGAGAAGGAGACAGACAAGTAACAGATAAAATCAGCACAACAGAAGCCAGTGCTGGCTACAACTGACTCTGCCCTGAGTCAAGATACTTCCTTCTACTCACAGTCTTACAAAATCAATGTGTTTTCCAAGCTGCTGGGAGACAGACAGGGCGCCACAAACAGAAACCAGCATGGACATAAGCAAATGAGGTGGAACGCCGTTGATAAAGTCTTCACTAACTGTTAGGGATGGGGAAACCTGCGTTGGGACTAACATAATATAGAAGACTCAGATAACTTCACCTCCCAAGCAGTAATGATGATGCTACCTCAGCCCTAAAAGGTAGAACTATATAAACCAAACATCTTGTGTATGTTTGGGGGAATATGTGCATGCAAAACTCCCAATTGACTTCTCTAAAATTCCTTTACAATGCAGACCCAGGATGGACCAATTAAGAAGCTATGTTTAGTTAAGGCCACCTGGAGGGTGTGTGAAATGTTGCTTGGAGGTGAGTGCCACACTGACCAGATGGGACAGGAAGGGTCAGTAACAGGAGAGGAGGCTGGAAAGGTAAAGTGTTCCAGATCATGGAGCCCTCTCTGAGCACAGTAGAAGAACAAAATTTTCTTTCTATTATAGAACAATGCGACAAATGACAGTATTAAAAGAAAAACTGGCATCTCTGGGTCTCAATTTCCATACTTGTAAAACTGAGATGAATGGACTAAATCTCCAAAGTTTTGTCCTGCACATAAGTGAAGCTTATGTTCTACTTCTGTCTCCTATAAGCCTCTAATTCTGTCTCCAATTTATTCTTCAGAATTTTCTGCCTCATAATTTTCCTGCTCACCTTTCTTCACTCAATACCATCCATCAAAATGTAAAGTGAAAATACATTTTCTAATGTCTGGTACATAATAAATGCAGATCAATTTAAGAAATTCATTAATATTTTATGGTCGCTGACTTGCATCAGGCCAATTTTCTAAATTTAAACTCGCTTAGTTCCCTGTTGCGGGATTGGTACAGACCCTAAAATGTCACTGTTTGCATTTGATTACGGTCATTTAAAGGAATATCTGAGTGGGAACAGAAAAAGTAGAACTGACGTACCAAGAGGTTCTCTGGCTTGATGTCTCTATGCACAATGCTGAGGCCGTGGAGGTACCTGAGGGCGTTGGCCAGGTTGTACACCATGGCACTGCCATCCCTCTCTGTGTACTTGGTGGAAGAGGTAATGGCATCAAAGAGATCTCCACCCTGAAGGACACGAAAGAGCGTATCAAAACATCGACAGCGGCAATCTCATGAAGGTGACAAAAACAGTTCACAGGCCTGGAGTAGACTTAAAAAATAACACAAATGCCACTAAAATTGATGATTATAAATAAGTGAAGTTTCACGGTAGCAAAACACTTCTCTGATTAGGTCCTTCATGAACACGGGAAGTCTGGGAATTTGGCACCAGTGAAATCTCTGGCAATCTCTCCACCCTCTTACTTTGACCAATTCCATCACCAGAAAGAGCTCAGTAGCTGTTTCCATCTCCTCGACCAGCATGATGATATTTGGATGTTTCACTCGGCGCAGTATTGACACTTCATTCTCAATCAGGTGTTCCTGTCAAACAAAGGGTTTAGAGAGGTGGATCAGAAACCACAGAACCCTCTATTCTACCCCTATGTTCTGGAGAACACGGTCTGTAGATCAGACGCTGAAGGAAGCATCTCCTTTGGCACAGAGACAAACCAAACCCTGGCCTACTTGGTTTCCATAGGGACAGGACAGATCAGCATGACATCTCATTGTCAGTAACAAAAAGAAACAGGCATCCTGGTACATAAAACACACTGAAAGTGTCTCCATTACTTTCGACACCTTCAGAGGCTGTGACACCATGAAAGCCTGAGCACACAGCACTGAGCTTTGTAACTCAGCTGGAAACACTTTTTTAATTTCCATATATACTCTGAAACAAAGACTCTAGGAGGAAATTTGGCATGCTTGTGGCATACAACTTGGGCACTAAAATTTTTTGTTGTTTTTAAACCATTACTATATGAATTTGAATTCTATGTTGAAATTCATGAAAAAGAAACTTTCTTCCGCTACAACTGGGTATGAAATCATTCATCAGAGTATGTTCTTTATCATCTTATATTTCGGAAATCAGGAAACGTACAGAGCTGTAGGGACCACTAAGGACTTCTCCTGTGAAAATATCACTCGATACCGGTCCTGGTGAGACACACAGTTGGGATCAGCACTGTAGCAAAATGTTTACTCACAGCATTAAGACATTATTCTCAATATGCCAATCATGAATCATAAACAACTACTGCTTTATTTCATCACGAGACATGAGACCTTCTCAGTACTGTCACATTTGTTGATCCTCATCAACTGTAATAATTATTTTGATTTTAGGGCACACTCTGTAAAATGAACTAAATACCCTCTAACACATTCTAGGTATTCGAATATAGCTTTTATATAAAATTTGCCTTATAAGAGACATCACTTACTACCTAAACAAACACATATGTTTACATCCATATCCATCTATCTATCTATATACACACACACACGTGAGTGTGTGTCCCTCACATTGTCCCTTTGCTTTGCTACCATGAATTTCAGAACTAAATTTAGTGTTCCACTGTAGTAGGAAGATAATTATCTTATTTCTAGATCTGGATACTATTTATGGTTCCTCTCGTAAATTCACACATCCACGTATACATGCATTTTTACTCTCAGTCATCTCAAGTGCTTTTTGACAAGAGTTGGGAGGTATAAATGATAACAAACAAATAACATCCAGAGAAAATCTGCTGCACGATCCTACACGTGGTAGGCTGTGTTTTTTGAGCATTGCATGCATTATATTTGTCCAAGTAATTAGTAAATGCTGGCAAGTGACGGTGCACATGCTAAACAGAAGTAGGGGAAGAAAACAACCGACATGACCAGGAATCTAGTCGTATTTGTCAGTCGCTGTGCAAAGTACTTGTGCAATGTTTTAACACTTTTCCCTCAGAACAGTGCTTTGAGGGGGGATGCAAACCTAGCTTTCTGACATTGAAGCCCCATTTGTACTACACACCACCGTTCAAAGGGGAATGCTTCGATAAAAGTCAAGCTGGAATTTTTCAAAATGAAAATGATAGCTGTAAAGCTGAAAACATTTAATTCCCTGAAAAGACAGGAACTAGAGTTTGTATCACACTGAGTGGGGCATCCAGGCAGCACCACACCGGGCTCTGTGTAGGGAGGACCTCTGCCCTTGATGAGTAGGACTGTGACGTCTGCCCAGCTTAGTACCCAGCAAATGCTTCTGAATCTCTCAGAAGAACGGTGGTCTTCAGAACTTAACATATCAAGCCTGGCAGGCTGGGGACAGGGTCTCCTACCTGTTTCCGACCCCACGTTTCTAAGTTACAGAGCAGCAGCACAAAGCAGCAGATAGCTCCCTGATCCCTCCTGAGGGAAGCAGCAATACAGGGACACAGCCTTCACAAACACTCCACATTTGTTCATGTGCTTAGATGCCTTTGCATCGTCTGTGCCCAGCATTCCCTTAATCACACTCAAGAGCAGAGTTAGATGTACCTCTGTGAACAGCAGAGAGGCCAGCAAAGGGATGTGTTTCACCCTGTGTGAAGCCAGGACTACCACTGCAGTGAAAGAGGCATTTTATTGTAAAGCTGAATAGATCTAACACTTGAGTTCTCCTCATTCCTCCCCACTTCCTCCCACCTGGAAAAGTCTATAAATTTACCTCTCTTTGTTTAGAGGCTCTGTCTGCGATGCTAATTTCGAGTGACATATGTAAAATAACCCCCATTACCAGTACCCCAAGAACGCTCTCAAATTGGAGTTAACATAAGATGTCTACCACCTAACGAGACTACACCTCCCCAAAGTTATCTTTCCCAATCAAAGGCACCACAGAAAGCCTTCTGGGATATATTGTAGAACCTTCCCCAGACCACCTGCATGCAGTGTTACATTTCGAATACTGAGTACTGCAGCAAACTTTTCTCCACCACTATGTGTTATCTCAGCTTCCTGTTACCTACTCAGCGATGACTAGCATTCCAAGCACACAGCGAATGTCGCTGGGATGTGGGAGCTGTTAGCCTTTGTTTCCCAGCCTCTGGCTATGCCTGTACAATTGTCTATGAAGAAACAATCCACTCTTTAAACTAACCGTCATCAGAAGCAAAACGATAGCCGTGCATAAAAATCTTTACAAATGTTACCTTCCTATTTCTTATGCAACCCATATCGTAATCTAGATCACATTTTCCAGGAAAATATCTCTAAATACAATATGAACAACACCTTTGTCTTGAACCGCACTGAACTTAACATTATTCCATCATCTACCATTATTTATGTTAAGTGATTCAGGATTCTGAGTCCAAATAATTTACATATGAATCATTTCGTGGCAGTGTTCCATGGTTTCTGTGCGACAGAAAATGACAAAGAAAACTGCTGATTTAGCACAGGATATTCCCTTATCTTTGGCCATGTGGTTTTCAATGTACAAAATATATACAGACAGATATAGAGACAGAGTGAGGGGGAAAGAGGGAGAGAGGGGGGAAGGAGGAAGAGAAGATGAAGAAAAAGAAGAAGGAAGGAGAGAGCAGAGAACAGAGGGAGGGAGGGGGTGGATTAGGGAATAAACATCTCCCAAACCAAACCAATCATCTTGTCTGCATCCTTCCCAGTCCCACAAAAACAGTCCTCTCTTCCTGTGTCCTCTATCTCACTGAATGAACCTGGCTGCCCAGAGCAGACGGGGACACCGCACCCGCCTCCTTCTCTCATCTTCTGGCCAGTCCGTGACCAGCCTGCCAGGCCTCTCTTCTCGACAGCCTCTGAACCCATCCATTCGCTTCCATCTCCACGGCCGCTCTCTCGCCTAGACCTCTAGGCGTTCGCGCAGGTAGTTTCTCTGTCTGGAACGAACTTTCCCCACTTCTCAGTGAACTCTTATTTATTCCTCAGGACCAGCTTAGATCTCACCTCCTCTAAATAGCCTCCCCTACTCAACTGTGCTGGGCTAGGTGCTCCTTTTATTTGCTCTCATTGCCCTCTGTACTTATTCCAGCCACAGCTCTCACCTCGCTGTCCTAGAGTTTTTGTGGTTTACCTTGCTCTCCACCAACTGGCACAGTGAGTCCTGAAGTGCTTGAGTGAATGAAAAAACACGTCAGGCATTGATCACTCTCGGCCAACACTGGCTTTACAGCAGGTATCCCTATTGCTTAGTGAGTATTACTGAGGCTCATACAGTCAGAGATAAAATGTTTAAATCACTGTATGTGATTTTCTGTGGTAGACATATGCCATGGATTGAATAATGGTCACCCAAAGATATCAAGTCCCCGAGGCACGTAAACATCACCTTATTTGGAAAAGGGGTCTTTGCAGATGTGATTTAGTATTCTGCAAAGAAGAGACTACTCTGGATTATCTGGGTGCCATCGCAACTGTCCTTATGAGATAAAAAGCATAAGGAGACTGCACAGACAGAAGAGGAAAAATAAACACACAGAATAGAAAGTGATATAAAGATGGAAACAGAGGTTGGAGTGCTGTGGCCAGAAGCCAAGGAACACTACCAGCCACCAGAAGCTACTTCGTTAGAGGCAAGGAACAGATTCTCCCCTATGGGCTCCAGAGGAAGCGTGGATTTCAGGCTTCTAGCCCCCAGAACTGTGAGGGAATAAACTTCTGTTGCGGTAAGCCACCAAGTTTGTGGTAATTCACTCTAACAGCCTCAGGAAACTATTACAGTATACATTTGGATTTATGTCTTGTCTGGGCCCATGATGCATAGATAATAAATGCAAAACTGTGGGAAGAGAAGGAAAGATCACTTCTAAGCATCATAACAGAATGCTCAGAGCTTCAGACACTGTGGGAATTCAATAAATATTTATTTAGAATGAATATTATTTAGAACATTAGACATGGAAGAATTCTTAAATTTAGAAACACCATAGCCTTCTCAACAGCCTCCATAAACTTGGCCCCAAGGCAGATCTTGACATAATCTCCTACTTAGAATAACCAACATGCTTTCCATCCCTGGGCCTTTGCTCAGCCTGTGTTGACCATGTGGAAGGTCTTTTTTTTTCATCTTACCCACTGCTGGAGGTCCAGCTCAAATGCTTCTTGCTCTGTGGAGTTTTCACTGATTACCTCCTTCTCTCTTATACACTTCCCCCCAAACTCTCATAATATTCTTTGCAGAACTGATATTAAAATATAAGTTAAAATACCCTATTCCTAACATAGTATCTTGCACACATATGTAATTTTAGGTGAATAAGTAAGTTTAACTAATAATGCTGATGTATAGTACAGAAGAACAAACAGAAGACCAGAGAGGTTAAGAATTTTTTCTCCAGGTTCTTATTCATGAACTTGGACTTAGAGAGGGAGCACAGTAGGTTAGCCAAAGCATAGGCTGAGTAACCAATGAGACCAAAATTCCAATCACTGCTCTGCCTCTGTGTGATTTGTGGAAAGCTATTTAATCTGAATCTTTATCTGTAAAACTGGTACATCTGTTTTGCAAGTGATTAAACATACTGTGAGAAGATCCTATATGCCTAAGCCTGGCTAAATAATACATTTGAATAAATGGCAGATATTATCTTCAATATCAATAATTTTCTGTGTAAAACGCACAAAGCAGATGTGACCAACAATACCCCAGAATAGTGGCTGAATGATTCCCCCTAAATTTTGTTTTAACCCATTTTTCTTTTGTCCAGGGAATACTCGCCGATGGTGTTCGTTGCTACAGCATTTACCCCAAGATAACTCGCAGATTACAGTCCTGACCTTACCCCCAAAGTTTTCCACGAAATATCTCGCTATTATTATTTTCGCATAATTCTAACATATTGATAGCCACTGGAAACAAATGACATCGTTCTATTTATAGAATTCTGTTTTTAGTAGTGGTATTTCCATTTACAAAATATAATTATTCTTGGCTGTTACAAATGTCAAATTCTAGAAAACGTAGTATTCCTACACATGATGTTAACATTGTTCTTAGTTGTTAGCCAAAGTCATTTGATAAATCTGACTTATGTGTACATTTCTGTTACATTAGGATTAGAGACAAGTTCTGTTTAGAAACAACTCTAAGAACAGTTTTTATATTTTATTTTCACAGTGAAAATCAGATTTGCTTCAGCCTCGAAGAGCGTGTTTATGTAAAATTAATGTTGGCAGCGAGCTGCACTTTTTTTTTCTAAATGAGAAATGGGTTAAAAAACAAATTCCCTAGAGCATTTTTTTTTCTCAAAACAAACCATAATGGGAAAATCAACTTATTTGGAATAAATCGAGTTTTGAAATTATAATTTTATACAGTCAATGTAGAAATACTTGTCTAAATAAACCAAATGTGAAGATAAAAATAAGTATACAATCATAAATGATAAAAACCAAATGATATTCAATACAAGGAAAAACAAGATCCAATGATTGAAGTGACCTATTCCTTTGCCTCAGCATTCAGTGTACTAGACTGATTTTTCTTTTTTTTTTTTTTTTTTTGCATAGAAAGATCTTTTTTAACTACTGAAACAGCTGCTTAAATTTTAATTAGGTAAATAACATCCCTACCACAGAATTTTTTTTTTTAAATACAGTTGTTTAGAACTTGGCTCCCAAAATTATGATACATTCTGCTTAAATTACACAATACCAGATAAAAAGAGTAACACTTATTTCTGGAAAAAAGGCTCTGCATTGAAAAATTTAACACTATTGTTAGAATAAGTAAAAGCCACAGAATTAAAGAAAATTTAGAAAACCTTACTTATTCAAAGAAAAGAGGGCCATTTTGCACAGTCTGCTTTAGTAGCTGTCACAGTGTCGTAAAAAAAAAAGTATATGACAATTTTGCCTCTTGAATTTTCCATTCTGGGGAATTAAGAAGATTTTGCTAAAACTTTACCATAATACTTTAAGTTTTCTGTTAAAAATACACAATTCTGTAAATGTCCAATGAAGACCAGTTTAGGAGTTTCATAAATATAAAATCACTACCATCATATCGAATCTTCCTAATTATAAATCCTCAACTCCTCAGGCATAGTAATGTTACAATTAATATGGGTTAAGTTCTTATTACATACTAGTACTTTTCTACATGTTTTCTATGCTTTAATTCAATTGACCTTAACTATAATTTTGTCTTAGATATTGTGAATAACCACATTTTAGAGGGAGAAACAGAGGTGCAGAGGAGTTGTTATTTTTCCAAGATCACACAGCGAAAAAGGCACAGTCAGGATGAAACTTCATACGATCTAGTTCTAGAGCAGCATTGCTCAACAGAAATATAATTATGATCCACATATGGAAATCTAACTTTTCTAGCAGCCACATTAAGAAAAAAGCAAGTAAAATTAATAATATAACTTATTTAACTCAATATACCCAAAAGATTATCATTTCAACATGTAATCAAATACAAAAGATATTAATGAGGAATCTTACATCGTCTAATACTAAGTCTTCAAATCTATTGTGTATTTTATACTTACAGTACATTTTAATACAGAATACCTACATTTCAAGGGATTAGTAGCCAGAGGTGGCTAGTAGCTCCAGTGTTGGACAGTGAATTCTAGAGCCTGCTCTCTTAACTGCCATGCTAATACAAAGGAATCTAAAAAGGTCTTTCTCGCCACTGTCATATTGATCTTTTTAAAAATAGTTAAAATATCAGTACTCTGGCAGCATTGCATCATTTGATCTTTTCCCAACCCCAGCTTGAGAGTAGGGCAGAAGAAAACAGCTCATCCGGTTGGGGAGATAATTCTTTATGGTGCTTCTGCACAGCTCTTGTTACCAGCTATCCTTTCAAGGATGTCTGTATAGCAAATACCCTTGGAACACAGAGACAGGATCTCCCTCGGGGCAGAGGGCAGATTTATTTTCTGATCATGATAATAAAAATAATGTTCTCCTCTGGGACAAAGGTTAGGTAGGTTTGCTAACAGCTCCCTCATAAGACTGAGGGTTTCCTAGACTTGGAGATCCTCCAGAAACCATTGTGCGCACACATCTAGCTGGGCCCTTCTGCACCACTTCCTGTGGGGCTCGGGAGTTAAGGAGAACCAATGCAAACATGCAGCTCATGCTATCTGCTGTGCCACGAGTAACAAAGATTTTTGTCTCTGACCCAGGAATCTTGCATCTTGTGCCAGAATCTATAAAGCTGAAAGGCTAATGTTATTAGTTTGAAAGTTGGGTAAAGTCTCAGACCCATCACAACTTTTGACATACCTTTTGTGTGTTGCTAGGTTTTGAAATAGGCATCTCCCAGAGAAGAGAACTTATTTTATTTTTGATAAACCAGAGATCAAATCAATTTCCTGTTTTAGGATTAAGGTTTCTGAAAAATGGCAAGGGGGGGCTTGATAGTGTTTCCCCCACTACTATCAACGGTCTATTCCTGCTTGTCAACTCCCCCTTAAATTCCTCAAGCACAATAAACATCTCAACAAGCTTCTGTTTCTTTCATGAAGCACTTATATATACTGTACCTTTCCGCAACACTTGGCTTTGTCTATAATCTTTAGGGCGAACTCCTTCCCAGTGGACCTGTGGAATGATCAGAGGAAGGCCATTTAAAGACATAAATCACAGGTACCATCATCATTCCTGATTTCTTCTACAGCACAGACTTGGGGAAGAAAGACTGGCTTCCTCCTCTGTACATTAGAGATGATGCTGAATGCGGTCAGGGGGCAAGGTATATGCCTCCCTCTCCTTTCCGCCAAAAAAAAAATAAAATCCAACGCTACACTGTTAAGCCGCTTTTATAAATATTAATAATTATATTATCATATAACTTGCATATTAAAAGTACTTAAAGTCTGTTTTATCAGAACTGAACAGGAAACTGTTTTTCCTATACTTAAATCTCAAAATAGTTCTCTTAGGAGATAGATTAAGAAAAATGAATCGAATAACTGAAAATTACCTGTTATCAACATATCTTGACGTTAATCCATTAGTCAATAATTAGTCCATAATTCAAAACTGAAAATCCCCTAGATTTTCAATAACTATTCCTCAGCCTAAGTTCCATCTTACCCATATCTTTAAATGCCCGTATCTGATACTAAAGAGATCATTTACTTGGACACAGAATCTTGATGTTGTTGTTTAATGTTTAATCACCTTTAACATATTTTAATCAGAACATGGCAAAAAACATATTTTAGTATAGGAAAACAGTTCAACAAAGAACACTGCAGTATTCTTGGAAGATATGAGTTCTCTCAAGCACAGCTGCCTTTGCCAGGTGGTCACAGTACACACTGATGAGGTCTACTTTGGAAAAACAACTTTTATTTAAATTACTTCTCCATGACATAAACCAAACCCTGCCTCAGATTTCTAACAAGTCTTCAGAAGTCATATTTTAGATGCTTAATTAGTTACCTGGGCAGCAATCTGTATACTGGAGTTAAGTACAAAGACTTAGAGGACAGAAAGCTACTTTGTGCACCAGGATAAGGAGAAATAAAGCCTCACTGGAGATGTAGCAGACTAGAAAAACTGTAATTACCAGAACTTTCTGAAAAATTCCCTACAAATGATAAAAATTACCACTTAGAACAGGTAGGGAAGCAGCGTATGAACACAAAGACTTTCTAATCTGTGTCATTTCCAATTTTAATATTGTTTACAAAAGGCCTAGAATTTAAAAGCATGGATTTCTTTCCATTTGAGAATTTAGGACCTTACACAAAATAAAGCTGGACAAAAATATAATTTTAATATAGGCAGAAGTTTAAGATGCTGATCTTAAAAGGAGTCAGAGCTCATGTATCCTGAACTACTGGCATATGTAATTAAATTTTAAAGGAGAGGGTTATTGTGGGAATTAAATGTTAATATAAGTATAGCACTGTCCTGGCACAGGTAATACTACAGGAGATTTTAAAAATAAATAAATCTTTCCCATTTTTCTCTGGTTCATGGGTGAGAACTGACATAGTGCACAATCCAAATATAAAGCAGGTTTATACTCTATGTGTATACGTATATTTTTCCCTGTCAAATTGCTTGTGGGCATTCAAAATAGCTGGTCCCAAGGACAGACTCTTTCCAAGGAGAAATCTTTGTGTAGGAGAACAAATGATTATCCTTACTATCCACTCACCTGTCCGTGCACTCTTTGACTACTGCAAAATTGCCATCGCCAATAACTTTTCCAATTCTGTATTTCTCAAGAAGAGTAGATGATTCAGAGCACTTGTTTCCATTCATGCCTGTAAAAAAAGGATAAATGCAAAGTCGAAAGAAAACGTCAGCATCTCATCTTGATTCCTACCTACTTGTAAAATAATACATTGCAGTGCATTTATTCCTCGGTCTATAGTGAAACTAGAGAAAGGCTCTGAGCATATTTTCTGAATAGCACATTTGAATCAACAACTTTCTTTTGACTTTCTTGGTTGAAATCAGACACCAGCACAACCAATAAACACAACAAATCTCTGAAATATCAGCTAAAATAAATGATTCACTTTGGTAAACAAGAAGTCTAACTAAAACTTTAAACTTTTTTTGTCAACTCTTGGGTAAGAAAAAGGGGATGATGTTGGGATTTAATTTTTTAAATTTTCTCAAGATTTCTCAAGATTTTCTCGTAAAGAAAATTCTAGCCAGCTAGGATGCCTTGTTCAGATTAATTCCTAGTTCTAAGTCTTCTCAAGAAGGTGGTGGTAGTGGGGGAGGGGCAGGGAACAGGAAGAGGAAGTGGTTAAGATCAACTACTTTTCGCAATCTATGCCCAGTGCCTGGTACACTGCAGACATCAAATATAGAAACACACTTTTGATAACTAATTGAGAGAAATTAAAACCTACATTTAGCAATTATGAACAGATTGCCACTAAGGAAAAATAAAGAAAGCCCAAGTCTAAAATTTGAAATTGGGATAGCTTGATTAATGACGAGATTTTACATATCTTGGCGCGGCCCATCAACTAAGGATAAATAGCTTAACTGGTGACATGATCACATCCCTGTTTAGATCATCATAATTCAGCTCAAGTGGATTTGGGGTGGCCACCAAGTTCATATGGATGACCTCCTTTGTGAAAGTAATCATCAGGTTGATAACTACCTTCAGGACTCATGCAGCGATCAAGTTCAGGTCCACCATTTATGTTGGAAGAAGATCTGCCATGTGCAGAAACCTGCTAAAAGAAGAGAGTAACCACTATTTATCAGGAAAAAATTGACCAATATTTAGCAAGCTAATAGAAAATGCTTACAGATAATAGAAAATGCTTACAGAATGCAAAGATACAATGATACAGAAATAGAGGAAGCATTGCCTTTCCTTTCCTCTCACCTTTCTCCCAATAAACACATTAATGAATTTTTTTTCTGTAGATATAATATTTTCTATCGGGGGAAATTGACAGTATGTTACTCTCTTTGATATTGTGTTACTTTTGACCTCAACGAAATAAAGTAAAAGAGACTTATATGGCATCGCAGCTGTACAAGGTACTACAGTTGGCAGAATGAGGCTCAGAACCATAGATAATTCCAAGAAAGCCAGCAATTGGTCCACAGATCCCATAGCCACCCCTGTAGCTGACCTCCGAGAGTCCCTGCTACGGTCAACACCTTCTCAGAACTCTACTCCCATGCCTAAGATGCATCACTTTCCACACTCTCCTGTGGACTCAGGGTCCAGAGTGCAGCCCTGGCTCAACCCTCTCCTTTACTGACCCTAAGATAGCAGAAATTCCTCTTGAGCATTGTAAGGATTTTCATTACCAGCAACCAGAGGGAAATTAAAGATAAAACTTAAAAGGTAGGTTCCAACTTAACAAAAAGCTGAAGTTTCCCTTCTAACACAGAAATAGCTCTAGTTCTTAGGGAAATTAAATTCACATTATATTATTCATATGAAGTTTATTGTTCTGTAGGCTTACAAAAGTTTTTCTTAATCACCAAAGGCTCTTAGGCTTTCAAACTCATTTTTTGATCTTTCCTTTCCCTTTTTCTTCCCTTCCCTTTCCTCCTTCCTTTCAATTATTCCTTCCAAGAGCTTACAAGGCCAAAGGACCTACCAAACACTGAAAAGCATCTTCGATGTTCTGTGTACTGGTATGCTTACACACTTGCTTCTATGCCAAAACTATCCCGGTAGCGTCTGCCCCGCGATGGCTGTGTCTTCTTTACCACTACGTCCCCCACGCGTAGCACAGTGACTGGACACATAGTACTTAATTTATACTTGCTAAACAAAAGCATAAACAACACAGGTTCAAGGCAGGGAACTGCCCTTCCCAGAGTGCCCACCAGTTAGAGACACTGGATCCACTCCTTCCTTCCAGGTGAAGTGGAGAAAGAACTTCACAGGTTCTGAGTTTGGCTCAAACGCCAGGACAGCCGCATACTTAACAAACATTTTTTCAAACAGAATTATCCAGAAGTTCTTGATTAAAACACGACCCTCAAGAATAAGAGACATGTAAGAACTGGGGGCTGTTTTCTCAGATCCCAAGTAACAGCACCGTGTGTGGACCATAAAACCAGCAGCAGTGTGTCCTGTTAAGAAACCCAAGGCCACGGAAAAGCACTGCTGAGAGACGTGGAATCAGCTTCTATCCTGAGTGGCAAACACACTTCTCATAGGTTTGCTTTTTCTCCTTCACTCTGACATAGCGAGCAGCTGAGTAGGAACGTGTGTGTCTATGTCCCTTTCCGGCCTCCCTTACCGTGATGGAAAGGCTGCACTCACTCACTCAAATCCCCAGCTCCTTGGAATTCAATGATTTTGCTTCCTCAATACAAGGTAATTAGTAGACAGTTTTTAAAATTTACTTTTTATTTCCCCGCCACTGAAATCAAGGCAACTTCAGGATAAGCAAGAGTCTATGCTCGAATGTTTGAAAGCTAGACTGTTTAAAACCAAAGCCCAGAGAGGGGACTTAAAAGGAAGCGGACAAGAAAACCACACCATTCTCTACTCTGTTCCGTTTCCACGGCTCCCACCCAGCGACCAACCCCTCCGGTCTCTCCTGGCACCTCATCAAAGGCCTCCTTAGTTACTTTCACCCACTGCACACATTATTGCAAGAGAAACTTCCACAAGATGGTACTGATATCAGCCCTAGGATGCAAAAACCTCAGTCGGCCTTTGTTACCAACAGAATAACCCCAAACCTCCAGCATGGCATTCAGGCCACGGTTTGTCCCCCTACCTACCTGCTCAATTTGTTTCCCACCACTTTTTTTCCCCCCATGCATTTTACTTACATTAACTCAAATCTCTTTTTTTAAGTTGCTTAAACTTTCCAAGTCTTACTTTTTGCTCTGAATATAGGATAGTAGCAGCACCTAGCTCAAAGATTTGCTAAAGAATTAAAATTAGCTCATACATGTAAAATCAATATATTCGTAGCCTTCCTTAAAATGGTTAGCATAGAGTCTTGAAATGAGTGACTGACAGGTGTTTTTGAATTGCGAAATGTACAATGGTTAGAAGAAATCTTTTACTAAATAATTCATTTCAAGTCTGTTCCCCTTCTAATTCAACCCTTCCTAGACTAAAAATTGTTAGTCAAGGGAACAAGAGATTCAAATTAAATTCATATCAGCCAAATTCTTAATGGAATAAAGATGAGAGGAGGAATGTCTTTTTTTTTTTTTTTTTTTTGTAAAGTTAAAAGTTACACCTCAAAAGATAAATAGAAAGGTCTCTTTTGATCATTGCTTGCCCCTGGATTTGTGATATGGAGGTGGACTGTCAATGCCTGGGTAAGGGACCAGCTCACGTGCATGTCTACATCTCACAGCCCAGGATGAGGCAGCCCCACACCCTCAGGCTGCAGCTGGCTGGTCAGGCCTGCGAGCTGGGCAGTACCCATCTCACCTCCTAACGCTTGGCCTGGAAAAGTGTGCAGGCCCCACGCCCACTGCTGAGGTCCTAAGACCTACTTGCCTTTGTGGCCACGCTCCCCCAGGCCTGCTTGCTCAGCTCTCCGGGGAGGGGGTAACATTCTTCTAACAAGTCCTTCCCTTGAGCTAATTTGAGTAAGTTATAGTTCATTGCAAGTGTTCTGAGTCAAGGGCTCTCTAAGAAGGAAGTCTTGAAAGGGGCTAAAATGTAGACATTTTTACCTCCTTGTTCATTTTCATTCACATGGATGGATGGCTCCTCAGAGTGCTTACTGAGTTCTTGTGAACCACTGTGACTTTCCCACTGTTTATTTTGATTAAACCCCACTCCCATCTACCCGGATTCCATGCACAGTCCAGCAATTAAAACCTAGTTTTGTTGAGATGCAGAGGCAGCAAGCAACATGGAAAGAGACCAGGAGACAGAGCAGGTGGTGGAAGCTGGTTCCCTGAGACTAAGAGAGAACAGTGACTGGGCTGAAGCCTGGAGCCTCAGAAGAGGGGGCTGCCTCGTGGAGAGGGCAGGGTGCAGGGCCCAAGCCGAAGGCCATTTCGTGTGCACCTGACAAGGGTTTCTCTGTATCACCAGGAAATGCCAAAAATGATGGCAAGAACATTTTTCGAAACTGTCAAATGGAATGATTTTTTTTAAATGTTAAACCTCAAGCATTTTTTAAAAATAAAGCCTATAATGAGTTAACAGAAGTGACTTATCTCTATCCAGATATTCTCTTTTATTCAAAAATAAAGCTTCCTTAAAAAAATGAAAACGTGAACCAATAAAGAGGATCATTTTATTCCAGCACAGCAGGATAGACAGGGACATGATCAGACACAGGGACGGTTTTCCTTCCTCCCTCGACAACCTGTGATGGATTTTTCTAGGATACAAAGGTGAAGGGACATGCTCATCACCACCCAGAAGTTTACAATCTTACAAAGAGGCATCTGTGCGTACTTAAAATCTGTCCGAGAAACCTGTACATTCAAGGCTATGGTCTCTAAGGTTCTGATGGTTCCCAGCGACTCTGAAGTTCAGTGAGGAAGCCATTTTGCTAAGGCACGAATCTGCACTTGTAACACTTGACTCACACAGCCAGTGATTAAGTTCACTTGACCTCCCAGGAATGTAGCTCGGTGCTCCAAGGGCACAAGAAAAGCTGGGTATTCACCAAGATCTCTGGACAGATCCCCGGCAAATGCGAAGTGTCTATTGTGAACTATAAAGCAGAGCATTCCCAGCGCCCTGAGCGGCATGCAGACAAAGAGCAATGAAAGCCCAGGGGATAACAACGCTATGACTATGAAATTCTTTCCATTTACCGGACACAATGTAAGCATTTCCCTGTCCCTTGTAAGAGATTTATTCTCTTATTGAAGCACGGATTGAATTAGCACCAGAGAGATTCAAATTTGGCTTTCCTGATGAAACCTGTCCCATTTCTATTGTCCCACTAAGAACTGTTATTAAAATCTCTTAAAATGCTAATGAGTTCTCATGCTTCGATCAGCAACTTTGATGCTGAGACAGCACAAAGAAAGTGCCTAAGTCCTCCTCAATAAAGCATAAATGGATGACAGCATCTGGGCTCTTTCAAGAGAGCTTCCATAATTACGAACTGGTTCAGAAAGATGCAATTGTGTTTAGGGGTGGGGAGTGAAGGGGAACATATTTCCTGATGAAGTACTGACTGGCCAAGGAGGGAAGGTGATGAGAAGTCTATGGAGATACAGAACACATTCTCTGTGACCTGTACCGCTGCCTCGCCCACCCACTCCACCCGCAGCAGCAACTCCGCATTTCTAAGCAAGGGAGGGAATGCACAAAAATCTGCTTCTGCTAAGAACTTAAAAAAAAAAAAAAAAGCTTGAATACAGAGCAACAGAGCAGAAAAAGCTATAAAGTGTTCTCAACTGCTAGCATCATTTAATAAGGCATTCATAGGCGACTGGGCACGTCTGATAACAGGTAACATTTCAGCTTTCTGCATTTTTAGCCAGGAAGTTAAGAGTGTCGTACATTACGTTTCTTTGATAAGTGGATTATTACAATTTTTATAAACAAAACTTAAAGAGAAATGTTAAGTACTAAACTAAAAATGCAAAGTTTTGTTCAGAAATGGGAAATTCTTTTAAAAAGTAGCAAAAATGGCTATATCAATGCACATTACTATTGACTTTTGAAGAAAACCTGGACACTATTTAGAGTTTTCATGAAAGGAAGAACTTGAACAGAATCTGGGAGATATTGCTGCATAGTGAGTTGACTTTCTTGAATGTA